TCCTACTGCTAAATTCTGTGATTGCACAGACACTATTGGAAGAGAGCTGAACTGGATGATGACATCACTGAATCATCAATGAACTGACTTTAGCTGAAAAATGACTCTGTTATTTGTCTTATTGCATCATTGACAAACTATTTTCCTGTTTGACTTTGTAAAGCTGCTTTGACACAACCAGTATTGTATAAAGCGCTATATAAATAAAGGTGACTTGACTTGACTTGACATAGAGTTTACATACATAGAATGTATGTAAAACTGATAACTTAAAGATCAGATGTTTGTACACAGCAGATGCTTTCCAGATGAAGCAATATTTAACATATTTCTTGCAGACGTACATGTGCTATCTGGGATACTGTTTACTTTTTTTTTTTTGTTAAAGTATGTCAAACAGTACAGATTATACAAGACACTTGTATGCTACAAGGATCACATTATCTTATTACACTGCATGTTTGTCCAATCACACAATGAGTCAAATTGGATATTGCTTCCAGTTCATTAGTCACGTAAAAAATTCTTGAGGAAGTTATTTTTCTAGCTTCAGCACACATACCTAAATGAAAACATCAGTGCTGTAAAAAACATATAAATGCGCCAGAGAGTGAATGGCCCTATGTGACTCATTGACGTCGGGTAAACAGGTAGTGTGCATCTGTTTGTCAGGGGTCTCCTCTCAGCATCCACTCTGCTCCGCAATGAGTCACTGGAGAGCTGGCAGAGATATAAGGGACAGATGGAGCCTCGCTGATGGAAAGGGACAGTGACGTCATAGCCTAGGAGGGAAGCTGGAGATATAAACAAGATCCTGCCTGTCCCACCCTCTCTCTCATCTGATTGTTAATTTAGCATACTGCTGATAAACATACATGGGGTCACTTCAAAGACAATGCATTCGACGTTGTCTGTCCTTCCCCCCCCCCCTTTTTTTTCCCAGACGTTGTCTGTCCTGCCTTATTGAAAGCAAAGTTATCCATATCTGGGACGATCTGTGGCATGATATAAGTGCAAGATTTCATGATGTCAAGACCTGTCAGACATCATAGTTTTGCAATCTATAAATTTGCCTAAGCATGTGTTTTAGGAGCGGCCTTTCATGTGCAGGTTAACTAAGATAGAATGATTTATCACATGAAAATTTGCTTTGTCAAAGCACAGCTGACATCATGCTGTGAGGCATCAGATGGCCGTATAGCGGTGGTGTCTTGGCTACCATAGGAGCAAAATATTACTTTAGAAAAACAGAATTCAGAATTATGCTCACCATGTTCGAAGAAGCAAGCATTTTCAGCAGAGAGAAGGGTGTTTTCTTTTGTGTTCTCTTGGCATTAAAGGTCCTTTTCCTAACATACAACATAGATTGCAACAGGCATATGCAGCTGTCGGATATAGATCAAACTGTAAAACTATTGATTAAGTGTTTATATGGTCCATACACATGCTGAGATGCATGTAGATCAGCAGCAGGGAACTCTGACCCTCAAAGTCCTGCACAGTTTAAATTAAAATCTTTAGGATTACCTGAAAATGACTTGGAAATTGACTGACAATACAGGTTGCGGTCTTTAGTGTATTTGTTAGTGTGCCTGCCTCCCATGCAAGTTGACATTGGTTTAAATACCACTTGGGGCAGTGCGAGTAGGACCAGACATAATGATGCCGGATGGGAGTAAGTGTAACGAGGGCTAGCTAGTAAGAGCTAAACCTCAAACCACACACTAACAAACGTTAGAGGCTGCTGTCTTTAGCACCCTTGTTAGCACACCCGCTTTTAATGCCAGTTGACACCGGTTCAAATCATAAAGTTAAAAAGAACAGAGTTTATTTAGTCCTTTTCCTAACATACAACATAGATTGCAACAGGCATATGCAGCTGTCGGATATAGATCAAACTGTAAAACTATTGATTAAGTGTTTATATGGTCCATACACATGCTGAGATGCATGTAGATCAGCAGCGGGGAACTCTGACCCTCAAAGTCCTGCACAGTTTAAATTAAAATCTTTAGGATTACCTGAAAATGACTTGGAAATTGACTGACAATACAGGTTGCGGTCTTTAGTGTATTTGTTAGTGTGCCTGCCTCCCATGCAAGTTGACATTGGTTTAAATACCACTTGGGGCAGTGCGAGTAGGACCAGACATAATGATGCCGGATGGGAGTAAGTGTAACGAGGGCTAGCTAGTAAGAGCTAAACCTCAAACCACACACTAACAAACGTTAGAGGCTGCTGTCTTTAGCACCCTTGTTAGCACACCCGCTTTTAATGCCAGTTGACACCGGTTCAAATCATAAAGTTAAAAAGAACAGAGTTTATTTAAAATAGAAATCTTTTCTAACAATATAAGTCTTTATTATCACTTTTATACACCTTGCTGAATAAACACATTAATTTCTTTCAAATAAAGAAAAGAAAAAAGAAAAAATACTGACCCCAAACTTTTGAACGTTAGTGTATATTGTTGAATTTTGAATAAATGCTGTTATTTTAAACATTTTATTCATCAAAGAATCCTGAAAAAAAGTCCAAAAAAATATGAAGCAGCAAAATCTATCTAGGCACACACTTGATGCATTTTCATGCTTAACCATCCACAAGCTTTATTCCATGCCCACATCCTGTGCCTCCCTAGAACCAGCAGTGCGCCATTTTCTATATCACTAATGCATTCCTCACATTTTATCCATTTCCAGCCTGTCCATGTCTGATCACCTGTTCTTTGAGTCATTAGTATCTTGGGATCCTTTACTCTGCATTCCTCACAGACAACACACAGAGCTCCTTCTATGGCTCCTGGATGCTGACTGTACTGATTACTCCTAATTTTAGGTTCTTCTAATCTTTGGTTTCCTTCAGATCTTTCTTGCACTTAGGTTTATCTTTAGCTGGACCATCCCACCATATATATTCTCCAAAACATCCACAAATTACAGTTTCCTCCAACAAATAGCCTGTTACATTTCAAGCTAACAGGATTTCCTATTTTTCCATTTTGCCTGTCCTTTTCATGCTGGATATCTGTAACTGTAAAGTTTGTTCTGCTTTTCGTTACTAATCGTGTCTCTATTCTAATGATTCCTCTCGGACTATTTATTTCAATCATTCTTCTAAGCTTCACTTCCTCTTTTTCGTGTACATCCTGTTTTCGTCACCTTTGACCAAAGATCTTTTGAACCAGATGCCATTTTCTGTTGGTCTACTATTTGTGTTATTATGTCTTTCTGATATTAGGTCCTTAAAGGGCTTGTTTTTGTGCTTATTCTCTAATTGTATCCAAATGGTATCTCCTACCTTACACAAATCTTCTGGTTCTATTTTTCTGTCCTTCTTTCTTCTTCTGGAGTCATTTGTTCCCATTTTCATCGGGGATATAGCTATTTTAACTATACTAATTTTATATATATTTTTATTTATAATTACCTTTTGACCCCACATTTTCTCTAATTGTCTGCCCCTTCCTCTGCTGCTAGGGTTTTGGTACTTTACTCCTTTAATGCTATAAGTTCAGACCAGCTCTCTTCTTCAGATTGTTCTTTGCTACAGTTCATTACAGTATGTGCTATACTATTCCATTCTGGAGAACCTCTAGTAATTCTTACTGTTCCCTCTTGTTGAGTACCTAATCTGAACCTCACGTCATCTCCTTAAGGGTCTTTTTCCATAAACATCCCAAAACTGCTCCAGATGTTCCTGATCCTTTAATCATCTGAGGATTTCCATTCACTACCACCTTACCTCTTGAGGTATTCTCTATCCAGCCTTCATACATTCTGATCATTACCCGCTCTAATTGTATTTCTGTAAGTGCAGACCTAGGTGGTGTCAGACTCTGTTCCATGTTTTGTGTGTGTCCTGCTCCCCATGTGCCTTCCCATGCCCTTATTTGGGTAGTTTCCTGTTCCTGCCCTAGTTATGTTTCATTGCTCCCAGGTGTGTCTCATCATCCCCTCCGCCTGTGTGTATTTAAAGTGTTCCCAGTCCCTAGTTCTCTGTCCGCTGTTAAACGTCTTCCTGAGTTCGTCTCCCTTGGTTCATGTAAATAAAGTCCTGTTAAAGTATTCTCCAGCGTCTCCTCGTTCCTCGTGTGTGTGCACCGTGACAGGTGGGTGTGGGTCTGCTATTATGAAAACATAATCTCGGCCATCCTCTACTGTTGGTAAGGTAAGAAGGATCTAATGTGCATTTTGAAAGTCCGTCACTGCCTCTTTGTATATCCTAACCTTTTCCATATTTGGAGTTTCACCCTGAGACTTCTTCAGGTTTTTCCCATTCATAGTCTACAGTTTTATTTTGCCCATGTTCTTTTTATGCACTGTGCTCATAATTCCCTCTGAGGTTTTACACTGAATAACTACTTTCTATTTCTAGGGCTCATTATGACTGCTATAGGCCGACTTCTGACTCTTGAAAGTCTCCTCTTTGCAGCCCATCCCTACTTAGTAACCATAAAAGTATCTGACCTGGCTCTGTTTCCTGGACTGTGGTTTATGCCCTTAAGGCTCTTCTCTCCCAGGCTTTTACCCGGTGATTTTGTTCTGGGCTATAGAGTTGATAAACCTGAACCTACTTCATGTTTTTCAACTCTATAGCCCCTCTAGACCTTTCTCTAGGTCTCACGTGTAGCGACCCCGATTCTTGGCCCTTCATTCCTTTCTCTGCACTGGAATATATAACGTTTAGTGTATAACCTCTTGTTAACCTTTGTGGTTTATAGCATCAAACTCATGAGCCTAACTTTCACAACTGTTGCTTATTCATCCTAACAAAGCAAATATTGCAAGTGCAAGCATTTCCATATCAAAACATATATGGCATTAACCTAAAACAAGCAAATAATATAACATCGAAGCAGGTAAATAGCAATATCAATATCTATTTCCAAAACAATTATATATATAACTTCATTTAAATCATTAAATGCAAAATGCGAAATTCAATAAATGGAAAACTTAAGTAGATTTATTTTTATTTTATTTATTATTCATACATGCACATTATAGGCTATATAATTACCACATGATAGCTTAAACATAAGGTTGCCTTTTCCATCTTTTCAGCAGTGTTACAAAAATCTATACAACAATAAATTGTAAAACACATTAATGATACAGTACTTGTAAATTACAGCGTATTGTTACAAATTGTAGTAATCTAAAATAGCGGATGACACCGTCTTGCACTCCATCACCTCATTTGACGCATTTAGGCACACACACAACACACAAACACACACACACAATTAGTAAACTGTGAGCAGTAATTAATTATTGGCCACATCTGTTCCTTAAGAAATAAAAAAAAAGAAGCAAACAACGAAAGCATCAAGAAATGTACTCATTGCTTAATTGGAGTATGAATATTCATCACAACACTGTCCACAATTGAACAAAGTGACAAATTTTGGATAATGGAGAGTTGTGATATTGAAGGAGAAATGTACTTTGATACTGTAGCGATGATCTGATTGTCCATACTGTACTCAGGGCATCTCACGTGAAGCAAGCCAGAGATACCACAACAAATTTGTTTGTGTAACCATACTGTGGCAGTGATTTGTAACATAAAATTAATACAAGTGCTAATATCACTGTTGACCATCATTTTCGTGTACCACAAAAGATGGATAAGTATTTCTCTATATTCTCTGGACAGCTACCAAAAATATATAATCAAAATCACAGAATGACTTTTTTTCAATAAGTATTTTCTTGGTGACTCTTAAAGAAGTGCTAGTATGTTGAATTTACATTACAATAATGAGACAAACTGTATTCTAACAGTTCCTGTGCTTACCTCACCAAACTCTCTTTTGTCATCTTCTGCCCTGTGTCCTTCACCTTGCATCGCACAAGTTCTGTTTCCTTCCTTCTCTGTCTGTCATGATCTCCTCGGTAGCCCCATCCGAGGTCCTTCTGACCGTCTGAGGGGTGTGTAGTATGTGCAGGAATGGAAAATAGCAGCATTATGGACGCAGATCTCGCCTCCCGAGCCTCAATCGGACCACTCGTTCTCCTCCGGCTCAGAGTCCTCATCTGATTCACTGTATTCCACAGCGATGCGTCGGGACAGGATTGTGGCCACGTCGTTACCCACTGGCTCTTTCTTGGCTTCCTGTTCTCTCTGCTCTTGCACCTTACGAAGCTGGATACCTGGAGGAGGAGCCAATAGTTCAATATTTTTAGTGTTTTTTAAAGAAGCCTTTTCTGCTCCTCAAGGCTGCATTTAATATATTTTAAAATATAATTTATTTCTGTGATCAAAGCTGAATTTTCAGCATCATTACTGCAGTTTTCAGTGTCACATGATCCTTCAGAAATCATTCTAATATGCTGATTTATTATCAATGCTGGAAACAGTTGTGCTGCTTAATATTTGTTTTGGAATCTGTAATATTTTTTACAGGATTCTTTGATGAATAAAACATTAAAAAGAACTGCATTTATTTACAATATTTTTTTTAACAATATACACTACCGTTCAAAAGTTTGGGGTCAGTCATTTTTTCTTCCTTTTTTTTGAAAGAAATTAATACTTCTATTTAGCAAGGATGTGTTAAATTGATCAAAAGTGACAGTAAAGACATTTTTATTGCTACAAATCATCAAAGAATCCTGAAGAACGTTCCAAAAAATATCAAGCAGCACAACTGTTTCCAACACTGATAATAAATCAGCATATTAGAATGATTTCTGAAGGATCCTATGCGTTGTGCTACTTCATATTTCTGTGGAAACTGTGACATTTTTTCAGGATTCCTTGATGATTTGTCTCAATAAAAATGTCTTTTCTGTCACTTTTGATCAATTTAATGCATTCTTGCTAAATAAAAGCATTAATTTCTTTTTTTTTTATTCATTAAAAAAGTACTTATCCTAAATTTTTGAATGGTAGCGTATCAGTTTCCACAAAAATATGAAGCAGCAAAAACATAATAGTAAATGTTTTATGAGCAGCAAATCAGCATATTAGACTGATTTCTGAAGGATCATGTGACACTGAAGACTGGAGTAATGATGCTGAAAATTCTGCTTTGATCACAGAAATAAATTACATTTTACAATATATTTAAATAGCAAACAGCTATTTTAAATTGTAATATTTCACATTATTTCAGTTTTTACTGTATTTTTGATCAAATAAACACAACCTTGGTGAATAGAAAATACTTATTTAAAAAAAACCTTTATGATTTCAAACTTTTCCAGAACTGTAATTTATATGCAAATGTCAAAAGGCTAAAAGGGTCTCTTAAGCCATAAAGCCCCAAAGACCATGCATGATTCTACGCAGACGCTACATATATAACTATATATATAAGTCTATAACTATATATATATATATATATATAACTGAGTTATAAAGTCAAATTCTGAGGAAAACTAGCAATTCTGAGAAAAATCAGAATTGCGAGATTTAAACTCGCAGTTGCAAGAAAAAAGTCAGAATTTTGAGATTTAAACTCAAAATTGCAAGAAAATTGTCAGAATCGCGAGAAATTAAGGCAGAATCGCGAAAAAAATTCATATATAAACTGAGTTATAAAGTCCAATTCTGAGGAAAACTCGCAATTCTGACTTTATTTTTCAAAAAATTGCGAGATTTAAACTTAATTTTTTTATTTCTCAGAACTGCAACTTCATGTATATCTTGCAATTCTGACTTTATTTCTCAGAATTATGACTTTATACCACGCGATTCTGACTTTGTAACTCTCAATTGCGTGTTTACCCTCATGAAAAATAAATATACTAAAATGTATTTGAAATACGTTTATTTCATGCTAAGTATACTACAAATACATTTACATATTTATGTACTTAATAAAAATTCCCTGCAATTGTATTTTTGTATAATAAACTGGTATACTTATAGTCTGCTAAACTGAAACAACAAAAGCTTATTTATTCAGTTTTCAGATGATGTATACATCTCAATTTCGAAAAATTTACCCTTATGCCTGGTTTTGTGCTCCAGGGTCACATATATGCCTACGTTTGAATGACCATCAGTGGAGAAAGATACTGTATTATGTATAATGTATTTTATTGTCTTTTGTTGTTTGCACTTTTAGTTTGAAGTTATGCTTTCTACCTTGTCATTCTTGTTTCCTGTTTCCTCTTTTCTGACGGTCTTTTTATCCGCTTTTGTCACACACCTTCTGCCGTCGTTTCTCCTTCCTCTTGTTCTCTGTGGCTTGCAGCATCTTTTCCTTCCAAAGGATAAAAAAGTAGGATGGATCGGTATAGAATTTGAGCCCATCTTTTTTGTCATCCCTGTAAGACAACACAACACTATGCTTAGAAATTAAGTAGTTTTGCTTAATATTATTAATATTTCATGTTGCTTACATTTCATCCCCAAAGTTAAAATAAAAATACTTTATTCAAAAAAATTATTATTATCTATTATTATAATTTTGCATAAAGAAAATTAAGCCTATTTTAAGAGACATTTCTTGGATATGATAATAATGACAACTAAAAAGTGAACCTTAACCTAAATGTTTTCTGTACACCAAAATGCCACAGATAAAATGACAATTTTATGTTCAAATGGAAAAATAATGATGCAAAGGAAGCATTTTGATTGGTAGTAGCCATCGTAATGAGTTTGGTTAGTAACTGTGTTAATTGTTTGGGCACGTCTTATTCAAGACCAGAGCTGTAATTTGTGCATGAGATGTGAGAAAATTAATTTAATCATGTTTTTTTTTTCTGTGAGAGTGGGGCATAGCGAAAGTAGCTACTGTATTTCTTCCATCCTACATGTAAAAATACTGTAATCCTGACAGTAATTCCTATTTCTGTCAGGACCACTATCGTCAAAGATGATTGACAATTAGCATACAGTTTGGATTGGCGGTATGGTTCTGTTCTGGGCAAGAACTCCCTGCGCATCCATGCAGCCTAGTATGGATGAGAGCAGGGAGAGCAGCGATTACCCCCCCCAGGGTAAGCAGAACAGAACCAACATAAATGTATTGCAGATATCGTTAAAGTTCAATAATGTTATGTACACATTTTAGAATTAGTCTGATTCAAAGGAGAATCAGAAGGCTGAATCCTGACTGACAGAGGAGGAGTTGGGGATGGAGAAGGGTAATTAGCTATTGAGCAATGCGAAAACTGCTGATAATACTGAGGGACCTTATATATGAATGCTTAGATAGGTGTCGTATTCCTATAGGTAGATGGGGATCAGCTGAGAGTCAGCTGATGTGAGCTTGACTAACGTGACCTGCCAGAACTAACGCTACGCTAGATTTTTAGAAAATGTTTTAGTAATCTGATAACATCTTTTTCAACCATACCTGTAACTGTAGCACAGTTAATCTTTTTGTGTTCTGAATTTGTAATGACCTTGCATGTCATTTCTTCTAATTAAGGTTAAATGAAATGTAACATTCTCAAAAGAATATTAGGGTCTAAATTTAAGATGTATGTATTTGAATTGCAAAATTTCCATCCATTTGGATTTCACAGTTTTAACAAACTAATAAACTTGGGATAGTTCACCCAGAAATTTAATTTTGCTGTTAATTTGCACGCACTCAGGCCGTCAAAGATGTAGGCGACTTTTTCTTCAGTAGAACAGTAAAAGAAACTTTGAGCTGAAACCGTGGTTTTTAAGAATAAAAAAAGCATATCAGGGAACATCAAATTAATACCTGTGGCTCCTGACAATATATATTGAGGTCTTATGGAGTGAAACGATCAGTCTGTGCAAGAAACTGAACGTTATTTACAACGTTATTACCTGGTTATTTTGGACAGTCATTTCTGGTTCAAATAACTGATTCACTAGTTTACATAATCACGCTATGACGTCATGTATACACATGTATTACACATTAAAGCACCCAATAATGACGTGAAACCTGGATGTTCTACATGTCTAAAGCATATAAAGTGAATAAACTAGTCTTCATCAGCTCACCTTTTTACATAAATCATGAGAAACCATAAAAACTTTCATTTCACCCCTTCATTCAAGTGTTCGGTTCACGCGTGCTCATATCAGCAGCTCAACGGTCTTCTGTCTGAGTCGAACTGTTTTCTCAGTTCAGTGACTGTTGGAGGAACTTGAGCGCTGAATGATTCATTCATTATAGGATCAGATATGCAGATATATCGGCTCATTTCCAGTCGCAGTGACTGTCAGGCGTCTGAAAGTGAGTTTTGATTGAGTAACTCGAGCCACGAACTGTTTCAGACGCTTCAGTCCGATTCGGTGAACTGGTTCATCTAGTTCACTTAAAAGAACCGGTTCAAAAGAATGATTCTTTCGCAAACTGGACCGTTTGTCTGAAGCTCTGGATTATAGGTAATAATGTTGTTAATAATGTTCAGTTTCTTGCACAGACCGATCGTTTCACTTCATAAGACCTCAATATATATTGTCAGGAGCCACAGGTGTTCATTTTGTGTTCCTTGCATTTTATGGATCACCAAGGATCACGGTTTCAGCTCAAAATCTTCTTTGCTGTTCGACTCAAGAAAAAAAGTCACCTACATCTTGGATGACCTGAGGGTGAGTAAATTAACAGCAAATTGTCATTTCAGGGTGAACTATCCCTTTAATATGATGCATATTTGTCAGTCATACATAACTAAAAGAGTTAATAAACAGGTCAGATGAATTTTCTTGCTGAAGCATATACAGACCTGTACGGCGTGAGGATGTTGAGAGGAGGTGGTTTGTCACAGCGCTGGTACATCTCCATGACAGGGTTGGGGATGGAGTTTCTGGACACCACCTGCTGGTCCTGAATAGTGGAGCTCTTGAACGCTTTCCGCATGTTGATGTCCTGTAAGGACACTGTAGAGCGAGGAGACAGACCCGGAAAACACTGTCAAACACTATCACAAACCTGAGACATTATGTGCCAGATTTACAGATTGCGTCAGCGCAAACCCTCTTTCGGTGTTAAAAACTACGTGCAGTGAAGCATTAGTGATGTAAAGGTGTGAACAGTTATTTTTGCGGCTGACCTTATTGCATATGCATTTGTAGGAGTGCCCCTTTTAGACACAGAATGAATGTGAGGAGAGTATTTAAATGAATCATGCTAAGATTTGCAGTAGTCTGTTTACTGGTAATTGCGCCATTATTTAATGCTCAAAAAAGCTTAACTCATTTTACATCAGTGTTGTTAGTAGATTATACACACCTGATTTGAGACACCGCGCTAATTTGCGCTGCTCTGTGTAGATTATGTTGGTCATTACGGAAATATAATGGCTCTGTCTGTTCTTTAATTTGCGCCTTGTTAGTAAATCACCCGCAGAACTTTACACTCACATCTGCGATTTTAAGGGATCGTGCTTTCGTGCTAATTTACTTTATTTAGTGAATCTGGTCCTAAATCTCAGAAGCAAGGTTTCTGGTTTAAACCTGTTTTGTTCAGTTTGTCTAAAAGCAAATAACACTTGCATAGAAACACCTGCATTGGTTTAAACAGTATGCTTAAATAGTATTTCCGCTTGACACCAGAGTGCTAGCTTTACAGACTGCAAAAATTATTGTGGGTTTTTTATTCATCTTTCTGGTGGTCCTTTTTTTTTTGTCCATAACAAAAAAGATGATGCATATTTAAAAAAAACAACAACTTCACAATAAGGTCTTTCAAAGAGAATATTCTTGTCTTTATTTATAGTAAGTAAACTAAATAATGACTAAAAAATTATTTTAGTTTTATTTTAAGTAAAAACGCTACTTTCAAATTGTAGCTATTTTAGCTTTTGTTTACATAAAATATCACATTGACCTTCATATTAAGTAATATTATGGTTTATATCTAAAATAAATATATATATATATACACATATATTAGTCTTTATTTTATTTACTTTTATTTTTTACATTTATGTTTTTGTCTTTGTGAAAAGAATGTTTTAATTAATATAAAATCAAACTTTAAGATTTGAATTTTTTTGTTTTTTGAGAAAAACTAAAACATTTGGCTGTAACAAATGAAAGCATTTTTAAGCATTTTTTAAATATAATTTTTTTTTCAGTGTTGTTACCTGTGGGAAACTTTCTCTTTCTGTTCATATCAGTTAGAGACTCATGGTTCTGATCGTAATTACTCTGCAATTGTAAATGTTAACTGCGCAGTAAGTTTGCATGCATTTTATGCACTGTAAACGAAGAGAGTCAGACAATGAAGCACATTATGGACGCACATTACATCATACAGCATTTACGTAGGAACTTCCCATAAGGACTTGAAGGCACCGCTCTATTAATTATGTTCCCTTGTCAACTGCCTCTTATTCAACCAGACTATTCCACTGTGCTCTTAAATAACTCAGCTAGTGTCTAGACATCAGTGGGACACGCAGCACTGCGTCTACGCTGCTAATTACTGCAGCTGCCTCATCTGTGCCTCATCTGCTCAGCTCTAGTTATTATTCAGAATGCTCTGAATATCACTTCATGAGCATTTTACCGTTTCACATGAGAAAAACTATCGTCATATTATATACACACAGAAACGTAAAGGTATTCACGGCAACCCGTCAAAATAAAAGTTCTGTTTAACTTGAAACTTAAATTGTGACATGCATAAATATATAACTATTGTACAACAGAATGTGCATCTTAATGTAATAATAATAATAATAATAATAATAATATAGTTATTATTATTTTTGTAAGGAATAATATTTTTTTTTCCATTTTTTAACCGTAAACCTCAGTTGTGTAGCACTTTATTTGCCAAAAATGAAAGTTTTTTAAAATTTTAATTTCATTTATGCATTCATTTGTTTATCAGAAAAATTTAAATACACAACACAGAATCATAGAGCCCTATTATTAAATAAATGAATGAATAAGTTTGTTTTTATGAATCCAATTAATTAGACATGCATTTTAATTATTACAATTTAATTAAACCAATAAAATGGAATCCAAAATTTAAACGGAAAACAAAAAATTTTGTAAATATAAAATGTCATTTGAGAAAACATACAACTTATTTCATAGGGCCCTAAAAATTTTACTTTTTGTTACATTTTTAATAAACTGTTGTTAAATTGTATAAGTTTCATAATTTCAATTTATTAGACATGCTTTTTGATCTCAAAAATTGAATTTAACCATTAAAGTCGAGAAATATTAAAATGGAGAAAAAAAAACAGAATCCAGAAAAATTAAGATGGAAAAAAATAACTACATTTGGGAAAAAATTAAATAGAATTTGGGAAAAAATACAACGGATTTCATAGGGCCCTATAGACTTGCATTATACTGAGTCTGAGTACCAGCGCCAATCCTCTCAGCAGCCCTGTGCTTGCATTCTGGTGTATTTCCAGGCTGTGTCACAAAAGATCAGGTCATTTGCTAATGCACATTCATTCTTACGCACCCTCCTCCACAGTGGAGTCCAGTTGTGTGACCTTCACCGCCAGCAGGTCGACGCGCTCTTGTAAACTGTTCATGCGCATGTAGAAGCTGTTGGCCTCGTTAAACAGCTCCCTGAAGACGTCCTCCGCATGTCGACCTGGATCAATAAACACATCATCTACGATTAGACAAAACTGATATTTTTCAAATAGCCGTCGTGTGCAACATCATTTTTAATTAGATATGCCATGAAATAGGCTGATTCTTTCTTGCTTTAATGTACACTGAATGAATCTTTTAGAAAGTGAGAAATTGCTAGTAAATTTCATATATGTGACCCTGGACCACAAAACCAGTCATACGGGTCAATTTGTCGAAATTGAGATTTATACATCATCTGAAAGCTGAATACATAAGCTTTCCATTGATGTATGGTTTGTTAGGATAGGACGATATTTGGCCGAGATACTGAGAATCTGAGGGTGCAAAAAAAAATCAAAATGTTGAGAAAATCATCTTTAAAGTTGTCCAAATGAAGTTCTTAGCAATGCATATTACTAATCAAAAATTAAGTTTTAATATATTTACGGAAGGAAATTTACAAAATATCTTCATGGAACATGATCTTTATTTAATATCCTAATGATTTTTGGCATAAAAGAAAAATCTATAATTTTGACACATACTATGTTTTATATTTTACAATAGTTTGTCTATTGCTACAAATATACCCCAGCGACTTAAGACAACCCAATAGCTGGGTTTGTCCCTTTTTAACCCAGCGCTGGGTTATATTTAACCCAGCATTTTTTAGAGTGTAGTTAATAATGAGAATTGGTCCTTAAAAAAGTGTAGAAAAACTAAAACAGTGTTTTCTTGTAAAATGTTTTACAGTGTACTTCCTATTGAAAATTCTTCCAAAAAAGATTAAAAACTCAATACTTGAAATTAATTTGCTGTGTATCCAAAAAAGAATTAATGCAGAGATGCTAGGAATCACCTTTTTTTTACGAGGTTTTTACAAAGTGCAAAAAATAAAGCACTCACTTTAAAATCTACAACAAAAGTTTAGTTTCCCAGTCTTTTGAAACTTTGCATCTTAATATACGATTCCTCACATATCAACAAAAACTTCCTATATTGAAAAGATGTCAATATTATTAACAAAATTATCAGTATGTTGGGGTGGGCTATTAAAAAATACAAAATGTAAAAGCTTTTAAGTTGCAAACATTATTTTGATGAGTTACGGTGACAATAATGTTGATCGTTGCTTAATATTGTGTGTAATTTAAACTCAAATTTCTTAATTGATTCATAAATCAAAGGGTTTATTTTTTTTTATTAAGTTGTAGTAACTTAATGAAATTGTCTTGATAATGTTAACAATTGTCCCCTGTTTTTCCCCTGCAAAATGTTTGTCACTAATTAATTAAATTAACACGTTAAAACAACAGCCATAATTATTTGAGTTATAATGAGTTGGCTACATTTATTTACGTTTATTTATTTATTCTTACATTTATTTATTTATCCCAAGAGACTTACAAATCAAGAACATCTCCAGCAATTTGTCATCTAAAGCTGTTTGTCTTTGCGTAATGCATTTTGCTGGTGAAAAAGCCATGTAGAAAAACACTGTACTAGAAAATCATCATGCTCAAAACTGAAACACAGCTGACTGTGCTCAGAACCCATGCTGCAGAAGTCTAACGGGCTCATATCAAACCCAGGGTAATGAATGAAACGACCAAGCAAGGACTGAATTAAACCAGGGTGGAAAATGATTGTGCATCAGCAATTCTAGAGTGAAGAACTGAACCTACTGAGTCCTCCCAGCTGTTTGATGATGGCCGCCAGTGTGCTGTTTGTGACACATTCCAGCTCGTTGGTGACCCCGTCGGGCAGGGCGCCCCGGCACAGGTGCTTGGGCTCGATGGCCCTCTTTACAAGAGGCATGGCTGTGCTCAACTACACACACCGACCTGTGAGAGCACAGAAGGGCCTTTTACACAACATTAATGTGACGCAGCAAACACAAAAAATGTAAACAATGCATTTTTTAAATCGACAAACACAGCTTTTTAAATGGCTCATTTTACTAAAACAGTAAATTTTTTAAAACATATTTTATGCCAACAGTATAAATATTTTTGTTATACACCAAGTAAAACGGCAACTGATGAAACAGTTATCACCGTGCATTTTTTTTTTCCATCAACAGATTTGATATTTAGATAAGAAACTCTGTTCTGTGGGGGAAAGTCATTGTAACTAATCTCCACATAAAATATGAATAAATATTAAAAATGTTGCCTACATTTGTCACAAGAAACCCTAAACAGGGTTTTCCAGGTCAAAACAGGGTGTGCATGAACACTGATGTCTTTTAGCACTATATTAGCTCTTGTGTTACGTTATGATTTATAACTGAACAAAAAAAAGCCTCTTTTATCCGTGGAGTAGTGTTAGGTCTGTTAATATATGCTTAATATTTATTCATGAAACGTGTAATTGAGTCTGTTATTTTTGGCACGATTCATTATCATTTTCCAAAATATGCTTGAAGGTATATTTGTAATGGAGAGAAAATGTTCCTTGCATATTTACCAAATATTGCATAAAATGCATAATCGAGCTGATTGTAATTGGGAAAGAAATGAAAAACAATTAAGTCACATGCTCACTTGGATGAATGCAGTTAAAAATGACACAGAAAGTCGATCTCTGTAAACTTCATTTAACTACATTGCATTTAAAGCGAGTGCTTTTTTTGCTCAGTCTCACACTCTCCACGACTGTTGTGAGACTGCATTTAATCTAAAACATTGGGTAATTAGTCATTATAATTGATTTTTAAATTTCATAATCAATGTATTAAAGCCTACCCTCACTACATGGGTTCAGTGTTTCACTTTTTTTTAATGATGAAACTTCAAATAAATAAATATTAGCTTTGTATTTAAAAAATGTAGCCTGCTATAAAATAATTGTGTATATATATATATATATATATATAGTGCTGCTTGAAAGTTTGTGAACCCTTTAGAATATTTCTGCATAAATATGGCCCAAAACATAATCAGATTTTCGCACAAGTCCTGAAAGTAGACAAAGATAACCCAATCAAATGGAACAATGAATTCTGAATTATACCAACAAATTCAGAAGGAAAATGTCAGGACATCTGTCTGAGAATTGAATCTCAAGAGAAAGTGGGTCATGCAGCAAGACAACGACCCAAAGCACACAAGTCTTTCTACCAAAGAATGGTTAAAGATGGCCAAGTCAAAGTCCGGCCCTTAATCCAATTGAAATGTTGTGGAAGGACTAGGGCTGGACATAATGGTTATATGATTTTTAAACACATTTCCGATATTTCATTACCAGTGTTTCCCATACATTGATTTATTTGTGGCGGCCCGCCACAATATCAACACTGACCGCCACAAATAGATTTTCCAAAAGGCATTGACAGTTTGACTTTGTTGAATAAACACGAGCACTGCATGTTTCAAAATTGTGTTTTATATGAATTTATCTTTGAAGTGAATCAACTGTCTTCAGAAAAGTTTCGATGGCGTTTTAATTTTATCTGATTAAAGTAGCGTTTGTGAGTGGAGTGCTGCTTTGTGTCAAAATAACTTATATCGTATCGACCGAAATTAAGAAATATATCGTGATATAAATTTTGGCCATATCGTCCAGCGCTAGGAAGGACCTGAAGCAAGTTCAGAGGAGGCAACCCACCGACATCACAGAGCTGAAGCGGTTCTGTACTGAGAAATGGGCTAAACTTCCTCCAAGCTGTTGTGCAGGACTGATCAGCTTACTTGCAGTTATTGCTGCAAAAGGGGGTCACACCAGAAACTGAAAGCAAAGATTCACATACTTTTGCCACTTATGTTTTGGGTCATATTTATGCAGAAATCTAGAAAATTCTACAGGGTTCGCAAACTTTCAAGCATCGCTGTATATTAGCAATATATTTAGTCATTTTGTGTTTTACGGGTTTACTCAGACTATTTGCCTTCAAGCCCACGACCATTTCCATGACAACTAAGCAAGGCCCTTTCTCATGCTCCGCTGAGTACTAGAGCTTCTAGAGTCACTCTCATGTGAGGAGGTCTGTTTGTCTCAGACAATCTCTCTGTAATGCTACTCAACACACATCCATTTTTAGACTCATCTTATTTCTGTTTTGCCATTTTCAATATAAAGACAATGCATTTTTAAAATATAGGCTGCGTTGCTCCCTGAGGCAGTGAACTCCTTTTGCAGCTGTCATAATGCTGATAATTCAGCACGGTGAACGCACATAAACATCCTCAAGGGGGAACCTCAGTCTGCGGTGCACATGACGCGGTAAGTTCTTTCGAATGAAACAAACGCATATTACTTTAGCTGTGTGAGTAGCCTAGCAACCAGCCTGACGATATGCATGCTTGCTTCCGCTAATATGCTAACAGAGTGCTCGCCCCTCTTTACTTTATGATTAATACAGATTTAAAAATAAAAGAAACCTCATTCTTGTAAACTGAAGTATTATGTCATGAAAATATTTTACTACATGCTAAAGAGTAATTTGTAAAGAAGCATTTGCTTTTGGTATTGGAACACAATCCTCACGTTTCAGGTGAGAGCTCAACAATGTCTCACAATGCTGCGATTCACCATCATACCAAAATCTGTAATCAAATGTCAGAGATTTCAAAGTGTTTCAATTTACTCAAACGCTCAAATAATTCTCAGCAATTTATTCCAAGACCTAATGATGTGATCTACTCTACCCATTGCTTCATTGAAACTACCTACAGCATATTTCCTCTGTTTATATCTGAGTCTAAATCTGGTAATAACGGGCGAAGACGATTTTTCGCAATTATTTACAGCAGGATCTGCATTTTCATGTGTTTAAATAAAAGATTTTTGTTATAAGACACAATAAAAACAACTTTGTGCCTCAAAAACCGCTCCTTTCCTGGTAAAATTGAACTTGATTTACAAAAGTTAACAAGTTTGCGACAGTAAATGTTACAGAACATAACATGTTTGACAAGCCAAACATGTCAGTCTCTAAGTAATGTAATTTTTTTAAGCCACAAAATAAACTTTATTCAGTAAATAATGATAATGAGCTACGCAAAAGGGATTTTGAACATCACAAACTCATTTCGAGCACGTTTTATAACACCCAAGAATCAAACAGTTCATCCCTCACGCATGTTATCACGTCCGTCAAAAACTTGGAATATTAGAACTAGAAACAACAACATAACACACATCAATCACTTCACTGACTATGTGCTGGCAAATAAATAAATAATTATTACCTTACAATCCATCTGTTTCCAAATCCACATTACTTGAACATCACAACATCGATGTCTGTCAAAAAAATAACATGAACAATACACGGTAGTATTTACGAGAAACAGAGGTCCACACTATCGGATGACTACTTTGACAACTTCATTGCTTCAAAGCACGTGAATATAAATATGTCCTTCACTTGCATAAATTGATGATTTTTACTTCTCTTAACTTCTCAGTTGTTTAAAAGATCGAGGCAATTATGAAAGTTTGATAAAAATGTTGTTACATTTTCCAATAAAAGACAACACATTTTTACATGATTTGTTATACATTTAATTACCCCTTTGACTATTTAATTACTTAATTCATTGAGCCATCTATGTTTTATCGAACTTTGCTACATACAAAGAGAATTCCAAAGCCTGACAGATACCAGATCTCAAGATATGTATATCACAAACTTCAGGATAATGTTTTCTCATTCCAGGATAATGCATTGTATTGTATGTCATAATACTTCCGTTTACAAGAATGAGGTTTCTCGTTCCACAGTGCAACATCAAACAGAAACAACAAGAAAAATGGAATAAATAATACAATAGAATATAATAAATATAATAAACTATGAGTTAATGGGTGAATAAAATACAAACACAAATATAAGAAAAGAACAGAGAACACAAAAGAACAGAGCAGAGCGTTTTGTAAAGAAATATACAAATGTTGCATATATTATATCTGCCTTCTAGTATGTGAAAATAAAACAACATTTGCAACTTGCCACAGACCGGGCCTCAATGTTATTTCTCTGCACAGATGAATTATCTCTCACTTTCTGAAACACACAGCCTGTCTATTGTCAGAGGCAGGAACTGATTCATGAGAGGAAACCATGGCAACGCCTCAACTATGCTGGTGCCAAGACCTGTTAGACTCCTTCACCAAAAACACATTTACGTAATCTGTTCCCAGCGCTACAGCCTGGAATGTGAATCAAACCCTGCATTCCCAGGCTTGTCTGTGGGAATGGGGCACCCAGGTTTCAAGCTCTGTAGAACGTGGAATATTCTGGAAAGAAGGAAACATCATATTAAGCGACAAAACCAGATTATACCTCATTGCCAAATGTTCTTTTTTCTTGCCAATCTTTGCTTATTAGCAGAAGGCTGGAGTTTGTCTATCAATAAAATAAGCGGAATACCTCTTAACTGCAAACTGGTGTTCACAAAGGGGTTTAAATAAGTGCACTGACTATTGGTTTCAGGCTTGTACATGTTTTCGGCGAACTAGCCACCAATGTTTTTTAGATGCTAACCAAGTTGACTTGACACCAAGATGTAGCTCTTGACAGCAGACTATGGGTGCACCAAAGAGAAAGGAAAAATTGAAATCGCATCATATGACCCCTTTAATTATGAGGAATCAGGAAGTATCAGTCATAAAAGTTTACAAGACATGACTGCTGCACCATCAATTTAATTGAGCACATTTTCATTTAATCAAAAATCCTTGACAGCAATAACACGTCTGAAACCCACCCAATAATGTCTCAAACCATGCTCAGATTTGCCAAGATACTCAAAGTCAAAGATTACACCGTGCACTCAAGCATTTCCCCATCAAATTCTCCCAAGACCAAAACCTGAACTCTATTTATTTCATAGCTCCATACTCTTTCTGTACGCCATCGTCTATTATCATTTTGTGGCTAGTTTAAATTCTGATTCCAGCAGAAGCATCGTAGACTAAATTAAGAACAAATGAGAACTCAGTCCGTCTGTGTTGATTACCATGACGTCACTCGTCCATAACGCTGTGTCGCATGACGTCATCCATCCAAACCACTGTGCTGGCATGTGATATGATAACAGGTGTATCTTTCGGCCACACGGGGAAACGAACGAAACGGTGGCAGTCATTAATATGAACGTGATGGATTATTGATCTATTAGCTTATTTTAAAGCATGTGTTAGATATCAGAGCCAGCATCTTTGCATCCTTCCTTCTAGTCATTTCGGCATTATCACGAAACAAGTACGTGAAAACACTGAAGGCAAGGCAACCCTGTGCGTAATTGCCATTTACTTACTAATAACTGTAGTTGTCTCCTCTCGGTGTTCTTTCGGCGAGCTATTCGGCGTTACATGCCGTTAATATGCGGTGCCATCACGTCGATGTGTTGTGGTGCGATGAACGGCGGAGGTGGTGCTGAAAATGAACGCGCGCGTTGCCTGGGAAGCGTCGCTAGTCGCTGTGCGCTGCAGCGGCGATGCATTGCGCATGTGTGCGCGTCACCCACAAACCACCACCCTGCGTGTGTGTGTGTGTGTGTGTGTGTGAGAGGGGAACACAGATATGATGGATGAAATATGCAAAAATACACACACTTGAAATGAAACTCTACGCTACTTTACGCTACTTACATAATTCAACAAAGTCTATTTAACTGTTTATATGGCTTGGGACAAAGCGGGTCCTCTAGTAGCCACTGTGGGAAGGCTTTGGTAGATCTATGTATGCATGTATGTAGGGGAGAGTGGGGTGATTTGAGACTGTGGGTAAGTTGAGACACCCATTGTTTCTAGGCAACCTTAAACAAAATTGCTGATGTGACCACAATAATCATATGAAGAGTTATCAGTTTTACTCACCCTGTGATTTGAGAGAGGCCCATGGGATACTTGGTAACTACATTTAAGTTCAATAAGCAGTTTTTTTGCTGTTCAAAGTGATTTTTGTATGTTGAAGGACTCAACAATCACAGACAAATCTGAAAAAATATCACGCATGTGTTTGTGCTGTAGGAGGTTAAAATATGAGGCTATACTGTTAGCATGATGTTAGCTCTAAACTGCTGGATGATACAAGTTTGTTTGGAGTGGGGTAATTTGAGCCAAAAGTCCTGGGGTACGTTGAACCAGTGGCTCACCCCTTCTTATGATTATAAAGTATTATTTTACTGTAATTCTACATTATACTTAATTAATTAAAAAAAATTTTTTTAACTTGATTTTGTTCTGAAAATGTTAACGTTTTAAATAGGCCTTATTTATGAAAACTGGCAATTGAAGTTTTTATGAAATTGTATTTAGAATTGGGATGGTAAGTTCTATTAGCCCAGTTCTGTGAGGCCAATTGCAGTCCATTTTTTTTTTATTCTTAAATTTGAACTTTATTTTGTGCTGAAATAAAAAAAAACGGGGAAAAAAAAAAAAAAACGCCTTCAGAGCTGTGACCTGTACACTCTAAAAAATGCTGGGTTAAATACAACCCAATTGCTGGGTTTGTCCCTATTTTACTAAGCACTGGGTTGTATTTAACCCAGCATTTTTTACAGTGTATCTTTAAATAAAACTTTTAAGAAGTCATCCATCCATCCATTCCATTATCCAAACCTCTTAGTCCTTATTAGGGTTGTGGGGAGCTGGAGCCTAACCCAGTTTCTTGAGCTGTGTGTACATTAATGAGGGAAAAAAATTAACTTAAATGATTTTAGCAAATGGCTGCAATATAACAAAGAGTGAAAAATTTAAGGGGGTCTGAATACTTTCCGTACCCACTGTATATATATATAAAACATGCCTCCAACTTAAGTGACTACGTAAAGCACAATTAATTGCACGCTGTTTCTTTTTAATAATTTATTTAAAATACAAATAGTTTCAATCAAGAATGCAAAAACAAAAGTGTCTGTAAAATGTAGATGTAAAATGTAGTAATATTTGTTTTAATTCATTGTTGTAGTAACCCCATTAATCATTGGTTCAGAAATCAAATGCCACTCTCTCATTATTAATTCACTTTAACGCACACAGTCTTTTACTGAAGTGTAACACAAACAGGCTTGATATCAACGGAGTCTACAGGATTATCTGTGCAGTTAAAACATGCTGTGCGATAAAGGAAAGAAAACAGTGCAAGGAATGTGTTTGGTCTGCTCTCAATGCTCTATATCATTAGGAGATATAGTTAGTGTTTGCTTTGTCCTTGCAGTCAAAACCATCTGACAGATGTCCTGGAGGTGCAGTTGCAAAAGAATTGTACAGAGTGTTTCAGAATACTCTTGCATCATGTTTTCCATTGGAGAGAAAAAAAACCTGATTGTTGTTTTTAGAGACAAATCTCGAGAACAGCAGAAGCTACACTGGTAATCTTCACAGTTTACAGGTGTTCCTCAATTGCAGGCATTCGCACTTTTAACTTCAGTGTGCAAGGCTTCCGGTCTCATCTGCTTTAGCTGTCCAAAATAGTCCGTTATGCTGCTCCATATTGCAAACTTGTATTTATTGTCATATAATTTTAATTTATTATCGTAGTCATAAACACACTGGTTTGTACAGCAAATAGTTTTACTGTTGACTGCACTTTATTTTTCTAGTTATGAATAGCGGCTAATTAGAGCTGGGCAGATCTAGAACTAGATAGTTCTAGAATCTAGATTACTCATTTTAGGTAACAGATTCTGACTACTTTTTAGATTACTTTTGGATTGCTTTCCCCCCCCCCATTAAACATGTCATATTGATATAAAAAAGCAAAGAGAAATATACTCAATTTTTTATATCAACATCATAAAATGCATTCAACATTACATTACACCAGGGTTTCCCAAACTGGGCTTAATGTAAGAACTGCAGTCGGTTTGTGGGTTGATAAAAAGCGAATAATTAATTAAATCATAAAAATGTCAAATAAATGATTTAAACACGTGAACACTAAAAATAGAAATCTTTAATTTGTTTACCTGGATGTCAATGTGAGCGACATTGAACTGTAAACATGCGAATGTGTTTTTAAATGATCGAAATACATTCAAATTTATTTACACGACATTTGTGAATATAATCAGAGCTAAGGAAAATTCAAAAGAGAAAAAATAAGAACTAGAAATAAACAATACATTATGAATGATTTACTGCCATTGTGTGAATATGTAATCATGTAATCCATAAAAAGGTAACTGTAATCTGATTATGAGCATTACAAAATGTAATTTACTCTAATTATGAGTACTTGATTTTTGGAATCTTATTATGTAATCCAGATTACATATAATCAGTTACTACCCAGCTCTGCGGCTAATGAACTGGAAGTCTCGCACATTCACAGAAACAGCTTACTTCCGCGTTGTGAAATAAGGTAGTGCTTCTGTGGAAACTTTTGTTATATCCTGTTACACAAGCACAATACATTTTTTAAACTCACAAACAAACTGCAAGCGGCAACCTCCCGCTCTCTCTCATGAAGCCAACAAGGAAGTGACTTAAACTGTAATTCATCAACTGGCAGCTAGAGGCTGGCTGCAAAAGGGAGTCAATCCCATAGACTCCCCATGTTAAAATGCCCAACTTTACAGCGTTTACAGCCTGGTTCAAAAAATTATTTTGGTCTATATAGCTAATTTTGCCCTTCATGACAACTGTGAGGGGGGTGAATTTTTTTTATAACTCATCCGTTTAAATTATATTAAGCCTTAAAGTTCTGCATAATTAAGGGCGTGGCCACTTGAGTGACAGGTGGATTGCCGCTGCTGTCACCACCATCGAGCTAGGTGGGCGTGGCTTCAGCAACCTGCAACCTCTTTGCCCATTTTCGATTATCCGGGAGTGATGCGCGGTGACGCGCTGCCAAGGTGGCGACAGCCGCCTCCGCCCACTTTTGAGCTTCAAAAACGCTCGTCGGAAATCTACGGGTGACGTCACGGACACAACGTCCATGTTTTTATACAGTCTATGACAAACTGCCATGTCAAATTTTGGTAGTCATTAAAGGGATGGGAAGTCTGGCAGCCTCATATTGGAAATATGCAGATGTATGCTAGGTCAAGATGGTCAACTAGTGAATTAATCGACCAGTCAACACTCTAAAAAATACTGGGTTGTTTCAACCCAACATTGGGTCAAATATGGACTAACCCAACTTTTGGGTTAAAAATGTAATGTAAAAATTGAAACCAATCGTTGGGTTAGTCCATATCTGACCCAAAGTTGGGTTGAAACAACCCAGCATTTTTTAGAGTGAATTAATGATCAGTTTTAACCATTATGCTGTAACTGTGTCAATATTATCGGATGTCCTGGGCCTTCTTCTGTGGCACATCTTCATGATATTTACATCGTAGATAGCGAGCAAAGGCTTGTCGATACGTCTTGTTGAAAAGGGTGTAGATCAGAGGATTCACTCCAGAGGAGATATATCCCACCCAGACAAAAAAGTGAATGAGGTTATAGAGATGCTCGCTGCAGCTGTCCTGACAGATGGCGATCAGCACATTGGTGATGAAGAACGGACACCACATGACCAGGAAGAGAAAGAAGACAATCCCCAAGACTTTGGAGGCTCGTCGCTCATTGTTCAAAGCTTGAATCATGCCTCGTCTGCCTTGGCCTTGTGGATCTTGTGCAGACTTGTTGGAGGAGGACTTACTGTTCAGCAGACTTGTGTCACTTATCTCAGCAGAAGAATGTTTGGAGTGGCTCCTGCTCTCTTGCGGGAAAGAAGTGCTGTGCCTCTGGAGATCACGGAGAGTGAGGTAATAGCAGACGACCATGATGACCAGAGGAATGAAGAAGGCCACGGATGAGCCAACAAGGACGAAACGAGGCTCATTCAGGGTGCAAGTGTTATTTACAAACACCTTCTTCTTGTCCTGGAAACCCATTACTGGAATGGGCAGCGACAACACTGGAAGAAAACAAGCATGAAGAATGACGAATCAGTTCAGAAAGCATGTCTAATTCATCGCATCCCACCGATTAAATGAAACTTTTTAAGCTTTCTAAACTTTTTTTTTTAAACTTTTGAGTTGAATTACTGAAATAAATGAACTTTTCCACGACATTCCAGAGATCAGTAGTAGAGCATTTGCTCATTTCAAGTCAACGAGAAATGCCCCAAAAAATCAATAAATTACTATTTCTATAGCACAATTTTTGCGCACATCTGTGTGCAGACTTAAAACAGCCGCCCACAACAAACAATCAGCTTGAACATTAAGAACAACAGATTCTAGCATTGTATCGCTACTCATTATAACACATACTAAGATAATGAAAACTCTTGACCAAGAACGGGAGATGCTTCTTCTGGATTAGGTACATGCATGGCTGCAAGCTGCTTCAAAATTAGCCTTAGCGAAAAGTGACACAGATGGTCACATGTCACCAACATGGCGCAATTTTGCAAAACCTCTAACTTAATTAACTACAAAATATTTATAAAAAGAGATGCTCATAGGGTTGGTGGGTGTTAAGCACAAAACCATAAGAAGAGCTGTGCAGAAATATCAAGCTTCATGCATCAGAAATGCTAAATCCATACAGAAAATACGGTTGGAATGCTGACTGTGACAGAGGCGTATACAAGCCTGATGCAGCAGTAATCGCTTCTCCTGTCAGTTCCTGTTAGTGCTGTGTACTCTCTAGGTAAAGACGTCAAGCAAAGTTCATGATGCCCCGGGAAGCACACAGAAACAGGGTCAGACCGCTTGCCTGATTTTTGGGTGAACTATCCCTTAATGTCAAAGAGTTCATGTGAGTTTACACCTTATGAATCAGTAGGCAGAGATTTTTAAATTGAGACAGTTTAGGCATCAAATTTAAAGCTGATGTTTATGACAAAAAGGTCTGATTGTCTTTTGTCAACCATTGTTTAACATCCAAGGTAACTTTTAGGTTAGTAACGTTTGGTAGGGTTGCAAAGGGGCAGAAAGTTTCCAGAAAAATCCTGGAAAGTTTCACAAATTTCTGGATTCTGTGATTAAAGTGAAGTGTGGAATTTTCCAATGTTAAAATACTTTTTGGTAGGTTGACTTCCTGAACAGTGAAAACTGTGGCTCTTTGGCACATTATTATTTTTATTATTATATATATTTTTTAAATCCAGGCAATCACAAATTAAATGTGGGTTCATTCATTCAAACAATCATTATTTTTGCCATTCCGTTCAATAGTGCCACTAGAAGTGACAGAAATTATTTAAGGTAATAAGGCTTTATTCTTGTTTTCTTTTAAGCCTGATGAAGGCCTGTGCACTGAAATGTGTTGACTTCAGTACTGTATATCATCATTAACCACAACATTATCTTTTGTATTTCTGAACTGGATGCTTCATTCTCACCTACAGAAATGGTCCAGACACTGATTATTTTGATCATGGTCTTGTGAAGTGAGTTGCTGCGGCTGTATTTGATTGGATTACGGATGCCGATATAGCGGTCCAGAGAGATGGCGCACAGGTGCATGATGGAGGCTGTGGAGAAGAGCACGTCAAGGAAGATCCACAAGGGACACAGCAGTTCAGGGAGAGGCCAGGTGTGATCTGGAAACAGAGACACAGGCACAAACTGATATGAGTAGAGTTCAGTCTAGTCCTTTTAATAAACCATGGTAACACTATAGGGACCAAAACTCACTATCAACTAGTTGCTTATTTGCATGCATATTACTAGCATATTGGACGTTTTTTGAGTTTTGCATAAATGGAGACAGACAGACAGACAGACAGATAGATAGATAGATAGATAGATAGATAGATGTCTTATCTCATTTCTTGTAGGAAAAAAGATCAGACATTAAACTCTTTAAGTGTTATGAGTTGAATAGTTCAGCTCTAGCTTCTACTGTACTGTATCTTGTAGCAGATATTCTGATTATATTATCTAGAAGATGTCTTCATACCTGTGCATTTCATAAGATATGGCAAGACCAGACTATACTGAGGACTCCATCAGTTGAGTCACTTTGTTGAAGATTGCCAAATTACTCCACCCTTTGATGTACAAGCTCTAGCTTCTACTGTACTGTATCTTGTAGCAGATATTCTGATTATATTATCTAGAAGATGTCTTCATACCTGTGCATTTCATAAGATATGGCAAGACCAGACTATACTGAGGACTCCATCAGTTGAGTCACTGTTGAAGATTGCCAAATTACTCCACCTTTTGATGTACAATGAAATATCTATGTCCTGAATCGAAACCAGTTAAGAGTCACTAGACTACAAAATGTCTTAGTCTGACAACTGTCTGAATTGCACACAAATGCTGAACCCCTGTCTTTAATTCAAAGCCTCGGTAGAATGAGCACTGTATTATAATTATTTGTTATTATTATTATTATATTATAAAGACAGCCCATGTGATGCATGCATATTGTTGTATTACACGTGTTGTATCACATTACATTGTATTTGAATGTTGCACTTTACTCTGTACAGTTATACGTACTTGTTATATCTTGTCTCAATTTGAATCCAGCCTGGCATAACTCATCTTGAACACTGTATTCTAAATAAACACATATACAGTAGACCTTAGTCAATTCATATTGGTTTTTACATGTGAGGGATTAACTCACAGTCTTTAAGTTCCTAGATCACTTATATTTTTCAAAACTCATAACTTTCAAAACTGTTTTATTGTCTAGTGAAAGTTTTTGGAAAGATGTTTCATCAGCTAAACAACTGGCAACAGTACAATTCTGTACTTCTGTCCCTCACAGCCTTGTTTTCATTCCTGTCAAAAATTAAATATGACTAAGGTCTACTAGATTACAAAGCTGCAAGTGGGAGCTTTTTCAATGAATAACACAAAGTTATCTAGACTAGGAACGTAACTGCACAAGTCACATGGACTACATTTATGGTAGTTAATGGTATTTTTATGCCCTTTCTGGAGCAGCCGTGGTCACTGTGTACATCACTGTATGAAAGGGTGACATTAACATGATCCTCTTTTATGTTTTCTATGGAAGAAAGAAGGACATAAGGGTGTGGAACAACATGAGGGTGAGTAAATAATGAAAACACTAAACTATTCCTATGCGTGTGATTTTTTTCTTCACACTTGGATGATGAGGAGTGTAAACAAACGTGACTTGATTTGCATAGCTCACAGTAATTTGCCTGTTATCACCAAGAAACTGCTGTCTTGACTTGCAGTCAGATATATTTCTTGATCTTTCACTTTTTGCCTGTGGCAAAACATGACTGAGTGATTGTCAAATTCCATGCTTATTATACGAAATTAGGATGTGACACAGCAATTGATCATAGAACAGATTTAAAAGGAAAAATGTTTCGCAAAACAGTGTAACAAGGAAAAAAAAGAAAGGAAAGAAAAGAAACGAAAAAATAAGAAAAAAAACCTACTGTAACAAAGGAACGGGGATGAACACTGAATGACAGAAAGCTAATACTTGGCACAATGTTGACTATTTAAGCAAACTTTCCTAAACTGCTATCCTCTCGGCATTTAAGCACTCTGCCAAGAATGCCAGTAGGGCAAGGAACTAGTTCAGCAGTATGTCGGTTCAGCCCACAAAGAGTAAACACCAATGCAAAGCAGCACTTGTGCACTTCACTCTCAAGGAGAGTTCATTAAACAAATATTTGTTATGACGATATTTTTTGGCTAAATCTGAAGGAGGAAGAATGTTGTTCTAAGAACTTGTGAGTAGGGGAGCTGTTTTGAACCTTTTGTCTACAGACATGAAAATAAATTTTTCTTAATGGATTAACAGTGGCATGGAAACTTTGTTTTTATACACTGGCAGGAAAAGTATGCAAATTGTTTGAAAATATACGGATTTTTGCATTGATTACTTATAAAATGTGGTCCCAGTTATGCACAAACACAATCTGACTTAACCAATAACATGCACACAAAAAGAGTGATTGCTGCATGAAGCATGTAAGTGAACTTTCTGAGAAATCTGTTCTTTTCAAGAATGCTGCAAAAAGGCTACAAAAATATTCACAGCATAAGAGAACCTGTTATCAAATGTAGAAAATTCTGGACTATTGCCACTCTCCATAGGAATAGACATCCTGCAAAATTTCTCTTAATGAGCAATCCTGAAAGAAGTGAGAAAAAAACCTAAGGATAACAACAAAAACCTCCCGCAAAAATTCACAGACTGCAGACGTCTTCTGTTTGTGTGTCCACTATTAGAAAAGCAAGAATGGTGTTCGTGAAAGGACAACAAATAGGAATCCACTGCAGGCAAAAAAAATATATATATATATATACATATATATATATATTGCTGCATGTCTCATGTTTGCCCCAAACCATCAAACCTTCTGGGAAAATGTTCCCCAACACCAAAACCTCTTCTCAGCTGAAAACTATGGTGGATGGAGCATCATGGTTTAATCCTGCTTTGCTGCTTTAGGGTCTGGACACTTTGCAATCAATGAATTCAAATGTGCATCAAGATATTCATGACTTCAAGCTTTAGAGAGGCTTGGTGATGCAATGAGACAATGACCCAAATCATACAAGGAAATCAAATAAAGTATGGCTGGAAAAAGAAGAAAATGTGTTTTCCTGAGTCCCAACCTTAAAGGGTTAGTTCACCCAAAAATTAAAATTGGCTTGTGTTTTACTCACCCCCGAGGCATCCAAGGTGTATATGACTTTCTTCTTTCAGACAAATCCAGTCGGAGTTATATAAAAAATTGTCCTGGCTATTCCAAGCTCTGACATTGCAGTCAGCGGGTGTTGCATTGCTTCAGTCCCAAAGAAGTGAAATAAAAAGCGCCCATCCTTCTTGAAAATTCTTGAAGATTTTCTTAAGAACATCTTTGTTTTTCTTAAGAAGAAAATTACAGGCCTCAAGAATACCACAACACCACAAACACGCTTTGTCATTCATAAAATAATGACCTAAAAACCACTAACAAACGGTTGCATTACATAACGTTTTCTTCTGTAAAATGTCTTTACAAAACAAGAATGACACTCTCTACTCACTGCAGCACTTGTTACATGGTCCGAATTTACATTACAGTACAACATTACTCCTAAGTTTACCATTTTGTCTAGATGGTTTTGATAGTATTTCACTTTTTAGATTTAGAATATATTTCAATATGGTGTTACTGTAGAATTGCAGCAAACCACTGTTTTATTCAGTTTTGTATTATGTTCGATTTTGAACTTAAGTTTAACAGTTTTGGAAAAGAGTATGTAAATGTGCAAACCAGCCTGTAGAGTTTTGCCAGTGGGCATGTCTGGGTGAGAAAATCATTCATGCAATATCCTACCTTTAAGAAGATATTTACAATGATTTTTTTTAGAAGATTCTTTTCAATGTAAATTTTTCATTCTTAAGTTGTTTTTCTAGGAATACAAAAACATAGTTTCTTAAGCAAGAAAACAGCAGTTAAGAAGAACTGTATTCTCAAGAATGTTTTGTGAATGCGATCCCAGGACGACTTCAAGAATACAGCTGTACATTGTCTTGTACAGTTCTTGTACAGGTGAGGGGTATTGAGGGGTCAGATTTCCTTAACATATGTAACTACAAATTTGGAAAAGATGCTATTTCAAAATTTCTGTCTCAAATATATTTCATATGTTAAGTTTATAGTTTTTTTTTTTTTGCTTAATTTGTTTATTGTACTTTTACAATAATAACAGGCTAAGAATACAGAAGAATAGTGAAAAAATCATGTTAAGTAAATTTTAAAAAGGCTTCTTGCACTGGATGTGCTGGTTGCGGCCTCATTGCCAGCTGCAGTAATGTCTTCATCTCATATATAAAACTGTGATTCACAACTAAGGAACTCGCATTCACGTAAAGTAGCCTTGTTGACATGTTTGTGTGAGTAAAGGCAAAACGCAAAAGATATTGTATTTTCAGTGCCCTGCAGTTGCGATATCACTTCTTTTATAGCAGAAATAAACTGCTGCAGAAAAAGCTAGATGCCATGCAAAATGTAGGCTAATATGTAATTTCAACACTCATTACAAATGTATTGGACTGGAGTAAAGAGAACAGATACTTATTCAAAAATGTAGTGAAGTAGAGAGTAAATGTTGCTAATATCATTGATACTCAGTAAAACTATGGAGTAGGTGTAATTCAGACTATTTACTTTAATACATTTTAATGATAAACGACAAGAAACAGGGGAATAAATACTGACAGTCAATGTTTAATGTTAAGAAATTATTATTTCAAGACATGTAAAGCATTTTGGCTCGTTTATGTGGGCCGTCCCAAGCATGGTTGCAATGTGTTCATTGTCAAATTCCAAAATCAGATTATTTTTAATTCTTAAAAAACGCCATTATTTTATTTGAAATAAATAATTATTTTATTTTATTGACAGTAAATAAAGAAAAACGTATACACTGTAATTATGAAACAAAGCGACATATTTGTACTAGAAAAGTGTGAAATTAATGTGGATAAAAAAAATATACTCTGAACCCCGTGTGGATTTACACAAACTGAGAAAGTCAAAAAGTGTTACTTTGTGCCCCGCTCTCCCCTATACAAAAAGATACTCAAGTAGCCTACAGTAATTAATTAGGCCTACATTTCCCTACTTTACACCTGGTCCGCACTATTATTTGCAAGTGATCAAATCAGATTTGTGTGTCCAGACATAACCAACTTAACGCAAACACAAATGTGGTTTCAATCGG